GGAAAGAGTATGCGCTGTTAAAACTAGAGATAAAAGCAGGTGTCACCTGTACTCCGTATACGAAAAAAAGGTTAAAACATCAGGAATGTATTTACCTAGATGTGTACTTTGAAAAGAGCAAAAAATAATTGACATCAACCTAGACGTTATTGAAAGTGATTTTACTGTGCCGCTTATCGATGCTATACTTCATAAATTTGTTTGGCGTTTATATATTTGGTGATGTATTTCTTTTAATTTTGCAATTTTTATGCATTTTTTCTTACCTAATACAATAACATAAAAAATAAATATCTGTACACAAAGATGGAAAAATAGTGAAACTTGTCTACGAATTTATCAAACAAATCTCGTAAGTTTTCTCAGTAACACTCAAAAAAAAAAAGAGATTTTACATGGATTTCAGCACCATAAAAATAAAAGCGAGTAATTTTATTACGCTAGTGGTGCTTCTCACGAAACTACACAATAAATAATTCCACGCGTATATTTAGGAATCTACAGTATACTGATGGTGGGTAAGCTATATTCTTGTTGCCATAATTACACTATGAATATGTATGTCACAAAGAAAGTCATTGGCTCATAAAATTGACGTGCTAATTATTTACATTATTTAAATTTATTTGTCATTTTATCATAATAATAATCAATGTGCAATACCTTTTAAAAGTATTTTTACATTTTTTTTTGTTTAACTTATTTATAATCATTTTTATTTGACCTTCCTGGATAACATGTAAATTCTGTTGTTATCAACATTATTTGTAGACAGAATATTGTGGTTTACAACCTCACAAACATAAGATTTTGAGTAATAATTGATTTTCTTTATTTAAAGATTAGTAATTGGAAACAACCTTGGAAGATGCATATCTGGAAAAAAGATACTTTATGTAACTTTTATAAGGAGAATATCAATGCCTTCCTAAAGAAACTTTTTAAAAACTTTTTTTGTTACAGAATCTGTAAATATTATCGAAGTTGAGCTTATTTTTCAGCACAATATTAACTGCACGATCATGAATAATTATTACGTGAGGCCTACTGTTAGCAAACATTTTATTCTTGCATATATTTTTATCATTAAAAATTACTTTAGAACAAACTGGAACAAAAACCAAAAACATAAAAATGGTGAAGATAATGAACAGTGAGATTGTTTATAAATACTATCTCACAAAAATAAAGTGTATGAAAGCTGTTGATTGGTTGATAGTTCGTACGGCATATTTTCATTGGATAATTTGAGTCATGTGACAGGGGATGGGAGGTTATATAAGCAAGCGCGTACTACGTTACGACAGATTTCAGCTAGTTGTACGGCGGCAACATTTAAAAAGATAAAGAAGAAAGGAAAGACGGTGAGATACTTATAATGTAAATTACACGTAATTAGCCTAGTTAGAAATCTCCTACCACACTGGACGACCTAAAGTTGTGTTTCTGAAGAATCAGCTACCGGTATGTTTTCTTATGTTGTTATATGAGTATTGCCTATATTGTTATGATAATGAGATGCTGTACGTACAATAAATGATAAGTATGACTGATCATCATCTTAAGTATTATTCCACCAAGTATCTACAGAGAGAGGAGCCTGGTCTATTTTACGTGAGAACAAATTAAATTTGTGCATCCTGGTAAATAGATGATTTATTTAGATGATGAAGCAATGACCTGTATACATGCTGAGGATTCAGAAATACTAGCCACCCCTTTGGTAGCTTACAATATCATTACTGACGTAATTATAAGATCTTAATTCCATTTCTAATCATTGCTGTAGAATATATATAGATAAGGTTGATAAACTCAGCACGTAAATTTACTGGACAATCTCAAGTTTGTCTGAGCCTGAAATTCCCATTTGTAATGCTATAACATAGACTGATAAATGGTGATGATTTTTTTCTTCTTTGTTTTTATTGTAAGTTAAAACTATTTGGTTATTTGATATTGTTTTGGTAATAAACAAATATTTAGATTATTAGATTACCACCAGCATTCGGTAATTTATTGCTCTATGTCTTTGCTTCGTTTGTAGTCGTAAACTTTCATACAATTTCACCAGCTTCAAATAAAATGCTTAACTTATTTCAAATAAAATTTAGTTTGTTTGTTTGTTTATTGTTTTAACGTCCGCCTCGAGAAATTTTAACTCGTATGGAGACGCCACCACTTGCCGGTGGAGAGCTACAAATTTTGACCTATACTCGGCACTCAGGGTCATTGAGCAGTGAGGGATCTTTTTCGTGCCAACACCTACTGCGACACGGGACCTCGGTTTATACGGTCTCATCCGAAGGACCGGCCTCCATGTCCCACAGTGGGATTCGAACCCGCGACGTAAGGATCAACTCCTTACTCCGCGACTCTAGAGCGAACGCTCTAACCACTGCGCCACGCAGGCGACTAAAATTTAGTATATAGCAAGTACAGACAAAAAGGGATAAAAATTTTAAACTTTTTGGCCCTGGTCCCACTTTGGCCTGAGGGGTAAGGCCATAAAAATCATAAAAAGCCAATCTTAAAAACTCTTCTTTACTCTTGGACATCAAGCAGTCAAACTGTTTACATGATTACAATAAGCATTAAACTCTCTATCAAAATTATAAAAATCATGCCTCTCAGGGTAAGGGGTTCTGATGCTAGGACGGGGCTCTACTGGGCATAGAGTGAAAATGCGTATTTTTTAAATCTTTAAGAAACCTACCCCGTGTATATTTTGCAGACAATGTAAGAAGATGCTTATGATGAGCAAGGCTGCTTCTCCCTAAATTGTGAAATCTATGGCCTCTGGGTCAGGATTTCTTGTACATGTGCTAAGTTGGGGCTCTATTGATCATAAAGTAAAAAAGGCAGAAATTCTTTTTAAACCTGCGTAAGTCCGGTAACTTCATTAGGTGCATCGTTATGATGAGCAAAGGTATCCCTACTCTATTTGTAAACCTGAAAACTCCTTTGTCAAGGGTTCTAATTTTGTGGGGAAGTCAAAGGAAATCTTCTCTGTTCCTGTAATAAGCAAGGGCGCCTTTATCAAAATGGCACAATTCATCGCCCAAGGAACGGAGGATCTTTTACCAGGACAGACTCTATTGATCAAATAGTAAAAATTCTCGACTTGTACATTCCGATAATGCATTGCGGCGGATATTGGGGTCAAGTGAGGTCAGGGGTAAAGCGTCATTAGAGACTGTTTACACGTAAATGTATATCAAAATCGGTAAAAACGACTTTTGTGTCGCCTACGGTTGCAACCATCATCGGGCCTATGGGGCAACTTGCATATTTTTCACATTTCCAGAAGACCCAGATTATTTTCAGAGGTGGACAAACGCTTGCAAACGTGGGGTGGTGTTCCAAAGTGGAAAGAGAATGAAATGGACGCCGTCTGAATATCAAAAACTTTGTAGCTGTCATTTTGAGACCGGCCAATGTCCAGATCCCAAATCTAGAAAACCGGGAAACAAGAACAAGATTCCTACACTATTTTCACACAAGGCAAGAACGTGTAACGTACATGTATATATTTACGTATAGAACCAAGATGTTAAATATATGTGTATTGTTTTATATATCCCCGAGGAACCTATTTCGGTGGTAATAAGTATTCAATTTACAAAATTTCCCAAACGAGTACAATTGAATAGGGAATTAATGCAGTTTTGCTATAAAGGTTCCTATAATTTATCCAAATATTGCCAAAATTTTAATAAAATACTAACGAATAGATATTTTTTCTCCAAATGTTTGACATTCTGTTTTGGGCACGTTCAAACAGATGAGGTACCTAAATCAGTGGCATGATGCTTTTCAAAGGTTTCTACCTTCATAAGTTCAGCACCAAACAAACAAAAGATTTAGAATAATAATTATTATTTTCGAATAATAAAAATCACCAGCTTAAAAGGAGATGTCACCAAATTAGGTACCCAACTGATTTAGGACCCTCCACGATACATGTAAAATCAAGGAACATAAACATTATATAGAACTATGCATGATTTATAAACTTTATCTAGCACTTCTATACACTGTATACAAAATTATAGTCACATGCATTTAAAGAATAACCCATGAAAACTGTATTATATGTATTTTTTATAAAGCCATAGCCAATGGCATAGGTGGTGCTACAGTTCTCATATTAATTAAAAACTGAATAAATCATTAGTGTTTCTGAACTGATACACTGCATGGTTTTTTATTGATCAGTGCAGCTCACCGTGATGCAATTATTCTTAAAACCTTTAAAATAATTAAATATTTAAATCTAAGTTTGTTTTATTTTATTAATTCTTTTTTTTTTCTATATTAGGAAATGCCCAAGAGAAGGCCCCCAAATAGACATATTAGATCACACGATAAGCTAGTATCAGCAACTGCATCTTCCTTTTCTGAAAGTACAGGTATAATCAGTTTTGTATATTCAGCAATAAGAGTGAGTTAAAAGATACTTATTATCACATTTTCAGATCACTTATTATTTAAGGAGCCAACGATAAAAGATACTACATATACTCCAGGGAATTAGAAATTAAATGCTTTGCATATTTTCAGTTTCGGTCAACACTGCATCAGAGACAGCTATTAATCAGCATGAATCTGTCCAAGAGTCATCTACCACTGTTAAAGTATATACTTTTTTCTAATCTTAAAATTTATATTTTTGAAATAACAGCTAGACTACATTTAAATAGAATATGCACAGAAATGACAGAATATATTAATTTGTATCATTTTGTTTACTACTGTAACCATAAATATTTTTGAGTTATTTTCTAGGTAGCATGTAGGATTAATAACTGACTCTATTAATTTAACAGGCACCAGAGATAAATGGCCATGATTATTTAGGAACACTTTCTGACAAGCAGAGTTTCCAGCATTTTGGTGATTTAACTTCAAATGACCCAGATTTCTGTGATTTTTTCAAGTCTGTTCAAAGAGACTCAAAAATTTACCAAGAAATGTGTTCAAAAAATTAGATCTTCAATATGGAAGTCATACAGCAAAATAAGCAGTTATTTAACTTTTACACGGGCTTGGATCTTGATGTTTTCAACTCATTATTTACATATCTACAACCAAAAGCTTCATCTATGCAGTACTTCCATGGTGAAAGAACAACATTTGTCCAACCATTTAATCTGGATGGCTACGGTGTGAAGAGAAAGCCTGGTGTCACTAGACAACTCAGTCTGCGAGAGGAATTCTTCAGTGTATTGTATCGTTTACAAACAGGACACTTACTTGAAGAATACAGTCTTCGTTTTGGTGTGAGCTCCAGTCAGTTCTCCAGAAATTTCACAACCTGGATCAACCTCTTATCTGTGGAACTGGAACTTTTATGTAAAAATGCAGAGCCAGAAGAAGATGTTGGACTTGCAAGTTGCTTCAAACCATTTTCAAACTTGAGAGTAATTTTGGACTGTACAGAACTGTTCAGTGAAACACCTTCCAGTGTGGAGTATTATAAACAGACTCACAGCAATTATAAACACCACTCCACAATAAAATTTCTAGTTGGAATCCATCCTTCAGGGGCTGTTACGTATATCTCAAAAGCTTACCCTGGGAAGTCATCAGACAAACAGATCACACAAGAAAGCCTGGACCTTCTGGACTCTCTTATACCAGGACAAAAAGTCATGGTGGACAGGGGCTTTACGATCGAAGAGGATCTACCTTGTGGTGTTAAATTAGTAATTCCTACTTTCAAGGGTGCAAGCAGACAACAATTTACTGCAAATGAACTATCAAAGTCGAAGGTAATCTCCAGAGCACGGGTTCATGTAGAACGATGTATGCGTAGGATAAAGTATTTCAACATCCTAAGACAAGAACTTAACCTATCGCAAGTAGATGTTTATGAGCAAATATTCAAAACCTGTGCCTACCTTGTGAATTTTCAGAATCCCTATTTGAAGTCAGATGAATAAGGGTATATATGGTGTATCTGAACTAAAAATAAAACTGATATGAAATTGAGTGTAGAAATACATGATATATGTAATGCATTAAAATTTCTATGATTTTCAACTCAGATAACCTCATGTTTCTATAATTAAGATCTCTATAATTTTTGTGGAGTTAGTAAATAAATCGGTTATTGTTTTAATTTTTTTTATATCTTTGAAACACAATTTAAATTGTGTAATTTACAGAAAAGTGCTATCCTATATATATATATATATATATATATATATATATATATATATATATATATATATATATATATATGGTATTCACTCGTGCTTCGCACCTCATGGAAATATCAAACTATCCTGTCCCACTCAGGAAATAAATTCCATATCCAACTACAAAACATTGAATATCCTCTCTGTATTTCCAAATTGAGTAAAGCATTTTTTGTTAATTAACATCATTTTGTCACAACTTGTTTTATTAATGATAAAATAACAACTGTCATTGTCACATACAAAAAGATAGAATTGAAAATTTCTGCTAAATATACACACCATCAAGTTCTAATTGTGTGGCATATTGTTTTAATTTCAATTATATATTAATTTTATGAAAATGAATGAATTACATGTACATTTTTGTTTTGTATTTATTCAAATTATCAAATACATATTATTAAAAACTTGTTTTAAATCATTAACAATGAGACTGCCTCATTCCATGTACTAATATATGCTTGAAGTTGGATTCACTATAATTAAGAAATATGAAGAAATTTGGACTTCTTCACTTATATATAAATAATTGTAGAACCATAACACCTATTTTTTGGAATTAATGAGGTTTGATGAGATTTTCATAATTCAGAACTTCAGGAACCAAGAAAATTTCAGTTTGGACCCCTTAATTATGATTGATTTTCAAGGAGCCTGTGAATTAACGTCTGACCTTTAAAATATTATGTCACAATTTCTTACACAAGTGGGACAATACCAGAGACAATCTAGATCTTCATACTCAGTTGGATCATAGTACACACATGACCAATGATACCATTTTCTACATCCACAATTACACTCACATAAAATGCTTGTATCCTTTTCCTCCCCTAAAGATCTTAAACATTGCCCACATTTGACATACAAGTCTGAGACAGCAGCTGACTCTGACTCATTCGGACAAGCATTCAATTTGATAAGGTATGGGCCTAGAAATTTCTCAAAAAAGAGAGAAATATTTTCAAATACACTATTCCAGTGCATTTGGTCAAATTCAATGACTTCATGTATATATTCAACAGGTGACCATACAATGAAGTGGGTTTTCTGGATATTAGTCACACCCATCTGTACCTGAACTTGAGTGTAATACTTATGGTTTCTGTTAAGAGTAATCTTTTCACCCACTCTTTTCAGAAAGAGAGTTTTGTCAAAGTCATGTTTGGGATTACTTGCTGCCAATGTAAACGGACATTTAATTTCGATAAGAGATATAATCCTGATTCTCTCACTTTTGTGTTTACATGACACTTTTTCATGTCTTCCTCAAATTTTCGCAGTGCTTCTGGTTCAAATTTGTTGCCATACTCAGTAGCTTTGTTTCCTTTGAATGATTTTCCCAACAGTGTTTTGAGTAGGCTGCTGACATTTGGAGTTTTTCCAGCTTTTAGACTTACCATGGCAGTTTTCACATTGTGAGCATTTGAGGCTGTAATGATACCTTTTCTGTAGTCATGCCACAAAACATTTTTTGCCTGACCTTTAGTGCTTTCTTCAATGGCACAGATTTCCTCTGGCGTTCGCTTTACAAGTTCAGTTAAATTTTTCAAGCTATCTGTATTTTTACTCAAGTGTAGGGCCGTACCAGGTAGTGATGGTTGTTCCGGTAAATTATCCATTTCAGTGGCTATTTCCTCTCTTGATGGAACCATGGGATCACTGAATTCTGTCACAATGTACATATCTGGAAGAGACTGAACTGAGTGTTCTTTGTAAAAAAAAACTGTCTTCTGGGGGTCTAAATTTAGAGGGTTGGTATAACTTGTTAATTGGAGCATTTGGTTTACACTCTCTTAAAGAAGAAAACAATTGTAGGTAATCTTGGAAATGTACTTTCGTGTCATTGGGATGTCGAGGATCATGCTCAAAAGCTCTTATTTTCTTCTTTCTAGGTGCCTTGTTGAATTTCTTCTTGTGAATCACAAAGTCATGAAATGGTTTTGGTTTGGATGATGATCCTGAAAAGGCAGAATAATCAAGTTAAAAAACTCACATACTTTATCCAGGAGTGCTTATATACTGTAAATCTCAAATAAGTGATCACTACTTATAAATGCATGCGTTTCTATTACATATCTTTTTAAGTTTATGATAAAATAGATATAAACTCATTTAAAAAACATGAACCAGCATGCTTTTCATGTGTTGTTGAGTACAAATATCTATATGTTGATAATTTTCTCACAACATACATATTTAATCAGGCCCATATTTAAAGTGTACTTACCTTTGCTATTTCACATAAATATTCAAATCATACAATGGATTTGATACCTTTCACAATATTGAAATTGAGCAAATAAACAGCAGCAGTATGATGTCAAAACAAATAAATCAAAGAATTGACAAAACACTGATACCATTATATTGCATGCTATCAGACCTGCTGATTGCTTCAAATGGCACAGCCATGATGTTTTCAAACAAGTTGTCTGGTTATTTCAGCACAGCTGAAAAAACTAACTGTTGGTTAACATTTAAAATGAAAAAGAAAATAATGAATTAAAACATATCAACAAAAATTAACAATAATGGTCCAGGTAATCTATGTTATTTATTTACCCCTTGGATTAATCCAGTATGCCAATTTTTCTGTTGTTGCTGGGCCATCAGGTAATTCTTGAAACCCATGGGATATGAACTCAGATACTCCAAACAGCATTCCAGCTGTGTGACTGCAAGCTGCCGCAGCACTGAAAATGCATTCATTAATATAAGTTATGTAACAGGAAAGGAGAAAAATGTGACTTTTTTTTTTTACCTGACCAGCATTAAAATCTCGACCCCCTGAATCTCCAGTCAGGTGCTCTACCAACTGAGCTTTCTGGCAACTGGATACACACACAAATATATACATATATATATATATATATAGAGGGAGAGAGAGAGAGAGAAAGAGAGAGAGAGAGAGATAAATAGACAGTTCTTTAATATTCTTGAAATTTTAAGATATAATACAATGTATCTAGATATTTACCGAGGATATCTAAAAAGGTATTTCAATGATTTAAACCTATTTCAATATATATATTATATAAGTTTATTTAAGGAATGTTTTTAAGTTTTGTGTGAGTTACTGGTGTGTAAATCACACAGACTTGTCACGTAAGCATAAATGCTTATCAAAAATATGTCTCCATGCAAGTCTGTGTCCTTATATTTAAATTTTACAAATTTAAAAGCACCAATAATATACTCAATATTTGAATTTCTTGCTGCCCTATATCGTTACATTTTTATTAACGTCTCTGTAGCCTCATTGTGACGTCAATTTAGTGCGAGTTTCACCGTGTATATTTCTACGCGTGAGTTTACACAAAATGACTTTCAAATCAGTTTCACAGTTGGCTAAGTAGAAAAACACAGCAAATGTATATATATATATATATATATATATATATATATATATATATATATATATATATATATATATATATATATATATATATATATATATATATATATATATATATATAAATTAACTTTCAATTCTCTAGACCATGCATCTTACCCTCCAACACAGAGACAGTATGCACCGACTGGATCTCCACTCATTTTGTCTAGCACGACACTTGTTTCATAAACCTTACCAGTTGTCCACGAGGCATTAGACTTGCACCTTAACAAACACACACTGCTTTGTTCTTTCAAAGAATTGTACTCAAAGGAATGGATATTTCCGGAGGCCCACAAGTCATAGCTTCTGGAAGTTTTATATCTCAACAACAAGGTGTCTGTGAACTTTTCATGAAGGCATGCATCCTCTGTTTGTTCAATGTCACCCTGTTCACTGAGTATTAAATACTTTTTAACTTTTTCTATTGTAACAGAGGGTATTTGTCTAATATCTTTAGTCCATCCAGACTTGGCATTATTTATTATGCTAACAATATCAAAACTTGCATCATTTCCTTGTATGGGAATTTTTAAAATACTGCATAGTTTTAATCTTTTTGATTCAACTGAGAGGGATTTAATATTAACACCATTCTCCCTTAAAATCTTATTGAGTTCTTTAATTTTTAGTTCCTTCACATCATTGTATATTTTCAATGATTCCAATTTTACTGTTGTTACAGTACATGTATTTGTTGATGACATATTGATGAAATCTATCACAGCAAGTTAAGTTGATTGCAGAAATCTGGAAAAAATATATTTACACACGGAATTAAAATTTTTGAAAGATGTAGTCTCATAACTGAAATGGTGCGTGGAAAAAATTTTCCTAACTCTCAGAATCGAGTGTGATGATGCCCACAAGGGCTTGCACAGTATATGAAGAAGAAGTAGTTATGAAAATTTGTTTGCAGTTGCAGTTATGAGTCTACATCTTTCAACAAAATTATGATTCAATGCTTATATATTTACCTTTTTAAAAACTCTCTGCCTTGTCTACAAATGTGATTTGTATTTCAAAATCCCTGTATTATCCTTTGGGTAAGTTACCAAGAAAGGAAGAGCCAGTGCAACAGCTACTTCCTACTTCGGTTGAACTGTTCAATGTGAGTGTAAGTTTTGATTTTTACTTTTGACATTACACTTGCATGGCTTCAATATTAATACGAAGCATTACAATCTTTTGACTTCGCTGTCCATGCTATGGTGTATTGCATGCCGAAACTTTCCAAATACTTAAGAAGCAAAATACTTGTGGAATGTGTAAAAATACATGTTTAAACATCATGCATGTTACTTTACATAACATTGAGGAGTCGAACAAATATAGACTAAAT